GCTGTTTACCACGTCGACGATCGCATTCACGACTTCGTCGCACAACCAAGCAGCCGGCCTCAGCGAAGCGAACGGCCGCGGGAGCAACTTGTGCGCAAACTCAGCGCAGTCCGCACGTGCATCGCTGGCCGAAGCAAGCTGGCAGCCAGCTGCGGCGCAGCCGCGGTGCGGCTGCAGGTCGAAGCTGCGCGGCGTCTCGAAAAACGTAATGTCTAGTGCGCAGTCAGCCTCTGTCCCACCCACGGCTTCGTCGGTCTTCTTCGTCACAAGCCTGCCGGCCGAGCTGCTTCGCATGAGCGCCTTGAAAAAATCAGCAAACAGCCGGCTTGCCATTGAAGAGCGCACAAAAAGGTTGCGAAACAAGCCAGCCTTTCAGATCGCCGCGAATCCCGAAACTCTTGTGCGAAACATGAGTATTTTGGCAAGACCCAAATATCTAATAAGAATTATTGTTCGGTGCAATGGGTCGGTTCTATCTATGATCAAACGAGCTCATAAAGAATACAAAAACGCTAACAGTTGCGCGCTCTGCGTGCAGCTGTTTAGCAGCACAAACTAACTGTCATGATCGACAGCGTCGATTTCTTCGCAGATTTTCGATCGCACGAAGTTCTCACGTTGTATGCTGGTGTCGAACGTCAAGAACCTTTCGTAGAGTTGCTCCTTGTCTTCCCGCGGATTTAGGCGCATGCGCTTGTTTTGCGCTTCAGACATCAAGCGTTCTTGGATTCCGACGTACTCGTCAAATTTTTTCCGGGACATCTTCACTGCGTCTTCCAGCTCGACTTCAATGGGTCCTCGCGTACGTATTCTTAAGCCTGCGACTGGTTGCAGCCCCGGACCCTCTCGAGTCTTTTTGTCACTGTCGTAGCGGAACTCGTCGGCTACCAAGCTGTAAGCTTTGCTTGCTCCACCGGACGCGGTGTTGTAAATCTTGCTGAACATAGCCCCGAGAGCTTTACGCGCGGATCGGCCAATCGACTGTGCGATCGATTTCTTTTCGATAGGGAACTCAACGCTCGCGGAGTTGTAGGAAGAAGGATCGTCTTCGTAATCGTATTGCTCATCACTCGACGATTGCTTGGCTGCAGCGCGCCTCTCTTTCCTAAGAGCTTCGTTGACACCTCGGTCGATGTTAAATTTCGCGTCCTCGTCGAACTGACTGACCCTGAAACGGCGAATTTTCTTCGGGGTTAACTTCTTGCTTTTCCTAGGCCGAGTATGCATTTTAGCGTGTCTTGTGAACGAGTCATTGAATTCGCCTGCGTCGCCGTCATCGTCGTCGTGGTCCGAGTAAGAACGCGTGGAAGGCGGAAACTGGTTTCTGTACGAATCGGGTACGGGGGACCAGGTGGACGAACGGGTGCGAGTAGACGCGGAGTGAAGCGCTTCAATTTCTCTCGAACTTTGGATTTCATTCAAATCGCTAGCTCTCTGAGAATTCTTATTGTTCAAAGCACTCATCTGAGTGTTTGCGCTCAACAACCTTCTGAGCGGTGCATGTTTTCGGGGGGCGGAAACAGGTTTGCGTACAGCAGAGTCGTGAATTGGCGGAAGGAAATTGTCTTCTTCCTCGCTACTAGACGAGTCATAAGGAATCACTTCGATTTCATTGCTTCGGAAGGCGGGAACAGGTTTGCGTACAGCAGAGTCGTAAATTGGCAGAAGGAAATTGTCTTCTTCCTCGCTATCCGACGGGACATAAGGAATCTCTTCGATTTCATCACTGAAACGGAGTTCCTTTTTGCGAACGGCACGTGAAGTAGGAGTTTGCGCATCAGCAGACCCAGAAGTCTCGCCAGAAGTGACCTCTTCAGCAGACGTCACGACATCGTAACTAGGTTCGCGCTTTATGCCGACTCCTCGCTTTAGCCTCGGTGATGACGGATTCCTCAATTCGCTGAAATCTAATTCTTCGTTAGAGGTGTTCGCTGAAGAGTTGTCGCTGGAATGGTGCAGGTTGCCTAGGCGTAGCGCGGCGTAAGGATCGGTAGCGTTTTTGTCTGATGGGATTGATGAAGACGTTGCCGTTACTTCGCCAGGAATGAATTCCCAGTCGGTGTCAATGAAATCCACGCTTGAATCGTACGTGTCTTGGTTGACACTCGTTCTGGCAGCGCGCGAAACCCCATCGTCTTCTGAAACGCTTTGAGTGGGGCTTTTCGTAGAGGAGGAGTCTTCAAGTGGCTGGTTAATGTTCATAGTGAAAGGTTGTGCTTTGGGCACTGCAGCAACAATAGACGGGGATTTTCCGCGCTTCTCATGAGTTCTAGATTGCGCGGCAGCCCCATTCTGGTCTGTCGGCATGAATCGGTAAGGGTTGTAGCCCGAAAAATCGACCGACAGCGGTCTAACGTTGAGCACCTTGATGTTGTTGTGTTCTCCGTCAGACGCGTTGTAAAACAGCGAATCCGGTTCAGACTCAGAGCTAGCGTCCGAAGCGGAGGAATGAGTTTCGGAGTCTAGCGAGTTCTCAGACATGTGGTCGGCGAGTGCAGAGCGTTTCGACTCTTGGGCGCGAGGTGTCGGCTTTTGGTTCGCAGTGAGATGTATCGGCGGCGAGCTACCGCGCAGCGTGACGCGCGAACTTGAATCGAAATCAGTGATGTTACTCAAATCATCGTCACTCACGGTTGACTGCGACAGCGGAGCCTTCGGTAAGGCGGTGTCGGGCAGTGCGTCGGTCTGCAGTTGAGAATGCGGCAGCTGCTCTCTCGGCGCTCCGTCCTGCACTGTCTTGTAGCTCAAAAGTTGAACAGACGCCGGTGCGGGCTTCGATTTGAAGATGCTAAGCAAACGAGAAGCGAAGTGTTTCTTATCAAATTTAATGGCGCTCGCCGGCTCGTGCGCGCTCACCTTCTCATTGCTCGACATAGCAGGAGCGGAGAGCGCCTTCGACACCTGGAACTTCCCCTGCGAGTAAAACCTCTCTTCCTTCGACAGATTGCTACGGCTCGTTTGTCCGACAGGGGATACGCTTTCGTCTAAGTCTTGGCCGTTGGAGGAGACCGCGTCTGCAGCGTGCGTGTCGTGAAGCTGAAGCGATGCCCCCGGACTGCCGCCCGTTGCCCTGAAGGGCTCTGTAGCAAGACGGTTCTCCGGTTTGTGATGCGAGCTGTTGTCGAGGTTGCGGCCGTTTGCGTCGGAAGACGCGGCCGTCAACGTCGGCTCGCCTGAACGGCTGGACGCTGCCAGGTTGAATTCCTTCGCCTCCTCCACTTCAATCGGGGCACTAATTTCGTTCACAGTGTGAAATTCCTTGAAACGCTTTGTTTTAGGCGAGTCTGACAAAAAGTTGCGCCTGTCTGGGTGGTTCGTGTTGCCAAAGTGCTGCTTCTTCGCAAAAGTTTGCTTTTTCGGAGAATTGAGTTGCGAGTAGTAAAGCTTGATAAATGCGTCCAACCTCGAGTTCCACAAACTAGATACCAACGGGGAGTTCTTCGGGTTGACGAGGTAGTCGCGTAGTAGTTTCATTTCGGTAATGCGATAGGAGTTCTCACCCAGCTGTGAGCTGAACTCGTCGCATATGCGATTAATTTGGGCATAGATCTTCGGCAAGGCAAGATGCAGCGGATTGTTGCTGTTCTCAAGCGCGTCGGCCGATTCGTGTAAGATGCGGTCTAAATACCGAAGCTCGGATTCGATTTCGTGATTGAGAGGATGCGGGTAGCTGTAGCTGCCTCGCACTGCGTCGCGGTGTTTCGGCAAAATTTCGACATTAGCGTATACGTGTGCGGGGGAGTTTTCGAAATGCTCCTCGAGCGCTGCAATTTCGTCTTCATCGTCTGCATCGTTCGCATCGTCTGCATCAGCAGAACCAGTTGTAAATCGCGCTTTTTCAAAGTTCGACGGCTCGTCGTGCGCTGTCGTGAGAATCTGCTCGCGGTGATTTGGATGGGACTCGCTGAAGTACTCGCTGGATCCGGGGCCGAGGTAGAAATCAACCATTTCGCTTGTGTACAGTTGATCCGGATTGCGGGAGATGTTTGCGACGCGGTGAAGAGCTGTTTTCTCGCGCCAGGAATCGCTGCGGCTCGGGCGTAACTGCACAGCCGGCATGCCTTGGTCAGACGACGCAGGGACAGGCTCTAAAAACACATTTCGCGAATTGCCGAGCTTGGAGTATGTTCGCTCGTCGTCGGAGCTGCGCGGGTAGTCCAGCAAATCATTATATGGACGATCCTCAACGTAGCCCCGCCCCTGCTCCTGGGCTGTCGCGGGTAGCTCTTTGTCGTCGCTGCTTTCACCAACGTGCATGGGCATCAGGTCTATAAACGACTCGTTTGACGATGATGGCGAGAGATGCTGCGGGGCTCTGGCAGATGGGGGGAACCCGGCGGTAGGCAACGTTTCTTGAGTGAAAGCAATACTGAGTGACTGCTTTTGATCGTGCGCAGGCTCGGCACTGCGTGACTTTCCGCTGCGGAACGGCCAAATGCGGCGCGAGGCGCGGGCCAGGGTACTGGCGACAGCGTTGCGTTTTGCGGGACGCTGCTCAGCCGCTAATTTCTCGGCATGCTTAGCGACGCTCTCCGCGCGCGGTGGTGGTGCGCCGTTTGCTTGATGAACGCCGTAGTCGGAACGTCCCGTAAGCCGCGGAGCTTGGTGCCAAGAGTGGCCAACAAAACCGGGGAACGACGGGGCGTTGTAATACATTGGTGACACCTTGTTCATGGCGTCCGTCAGGGAGACTAGCGCTACCAGAACAGTGGCAATGCTGGCGGATAAGTGGAAAAGCATCATCGTTCTCAGATGCTCAGTCCAAGCGGTTTCCTAAATTTCCGGCAATAAAAGAGAGGACAAAGCGTGAAGCAGAAATTCGCAAATTATTAGCGCGTGCCGCGCTACGCCCAGCGTGCAGCCGCGGCGGCGCATTTTTGCGCCGCGCGTGCCGCGTGCGCCGCTTCGGGCGTGGCGCGAGGGAGGCGCGGAAACTCAGCCGATGCGCAGTGTCAATTCTCAATTTTCATTTAATTTTTGTCCGAGACAGTCGCCGCAACATGTTACTGCTTTGCGAAACCGCTGGCGGCTTCGGGCTGCTGAAACTGCGCGGGACGCGCGCGGCGGTGCCCGCGGAGGTCGAGGACCTCGCACTCGGCGCGGAGAACATCTCTCTGCGCAAGTTCAAGGCGTTCGAGGACATCGGAGTGGCTACCAAGGAAATTGTCGCGCTGCAGAGCGGTGCGCTGTCGAAGCGGTTGCGCAAGTTTTTGCTGAATCACGCCAAGCCGGACAGCGTGCTACTGGTAAGCGACAAGACGCTCGCGGCGAACATCAAGCAAGAGCTGCAGCTGAACGTAGCCGTCGCGCCGAGTTGCTCTGCGCTCGGACGCGCGGTCCGCGAGCGGCTGCACGCGCTGCTGCAGGATAAAGTTGACTTACACCAGCAGAGCATCGCGCTCTCGCACAGCATCGCGCGCTACAAGATCCAGTATTCGCCGGACAAGCTCGACGTGAGCGTGTTGCACGGGGTAGGGCTGCTGGAGGACCTCGACAACGAAACGAACAACCTCGCCATGAACTTGAAAGAGTGGTATGGGTTCCACTTTCCGGAGTTCGTGAAGCGCGTGAGTGACAACCTGGTCTTTGCGGAGTTTGTGCTGCACGTCGGGCTGCGCAGCAACCTGCAGAACGTCTCTTCGCTGGAGCACATCAACATTGACGAACGGTTGCTGCAAGAATTGAAGGTGCTCGCCGAGAGCTCGATGGGCAGCGAGCTGTCTTTGGCGGACATCGAGTGTTTGAAGGAAGTCAGCAACCGCGTCGTCTCGCTTTTCCAGTATAAGATGCAGCTCGCTGAGTACCTGCATGCGCGGATGCAGAAGATCGCGCCGAACCTCGCGCATCTGCTCGGCGACCTGCTCGGCGCGAAGCTCATTGCGCACAGCGGCGGGCTCTTGAACCTCGCAAAGCAGCCCGCTTCGACGGTGCAGCTGCTCGGCGCGGAAAAGGCGCTGTTCCGCGCGCTGAAGTCGCGCTCGAACACGCCGAAGTACGGCATGTTGTACCATGCGAAGCTCGTGGCCCAGGCGAGCACGAAACTCAAGGGCAAGATGGCGCGCATCGTCGCGAACAAGGCTGCGCTCTGCGCGCGCGCAGATGCCTGCGGAGCGCCGGAAGGTCCGACTATAGCGCTTTTCGCCAAGAATTTCTGCGAGAACAAGTTGGAGAAGCTCACCGAAGACGCTGCGAACTCGAACCTTGCCGCACACAAGCGCGTGCTGACTATCAACAAGCAGCGCGCGCCGCCGCGCGCTGCCGCTCCACCCGCCAAGCGCGTCAAGTACGCCATCGACTAGCCACCGGCCGCGCTGCGCAGTTCGCGACGCAGCTCGCGACGCAGCCCTTCCGCGAGTAGCGGCGTCCAGACGTCCGCTGTCTGTTGCGCCTCGGTCGTGAGCACTGCGTACAAAATTTTTTTGACCACTTCTTCGCGCGTCGCCGCGTAGCTGAACGACATACTCAGCTGGCCTGCGTCGGAGTAGCGGAGCGTTACGCCGAAGAGCTCGACGCGATCTGACTGCGCGCGGCTCCAAAAACTGGAGTTTGCCGCGCGCAGCCTCGCTGCAAGTGCGTGGTGCGCCTCCGCTGCGTCGCCTTGTGCTGCCGCCGGAAACGTCCAGCGCACGTGCAGCCGAAACGTGATGGCGGTCGCTTTCAGTGCGCGCGGGAGCCGTGCAGCGAGCGTCAGCCGCGCCTCGCCCCGGCGACGCAGCAGCAGCCGCGTGTCGCGCTCCAGAGCGCGCGGACCCGCGCGCAGCGAGGCCGGCGCGCTGCAGTCATTTTCAGAAAACTGAAATTGCACACGGCGCAGTGCGCGCAGCGTGCGCCAGCTCGTTTGCGCGCGCCACGCGGCGCAGCGCTTTAGCTGCGCCTCGTACGGCGACTCGCAGTCACAGAGCAGAAGCGCCGTCGTCGGCCGAAGTGTGTTGATCGCGCGGTGCGCGACCCACGCCGGCGCCGCGGGTGCGCCACGCAGGTCGTAGACCGCCAGGCGTTTCAGCTGGTCCGCGCGTGTCGCGAGCTTCGCGACGCAGCGCAGCTGCGCCAAGTGCTCGAGCAGCGCGTCGTCGTGCCCCTCGTCTGCGAGTAGCACCACGTTCTGGCCGCGCGCAACGAACTCGCTGAATAGCGCGTCCGCTTCGCCGAAAGCTCCGGGCTTAGCCACAAAGCAGAGCACGTTCGAGCGCGCGCGCCGCGGGGAACGCAGAAAAGCACCTGTGCTGTCAAAGAACTGCACGCAGCTCGGAAGCGAGTGCGTCGTCGCGAGCGCGCTCCACTCGCCCAGGCCACGCGAGTGCTGCGAGCCGTACGTCTCTATTGCGCATTGCGCCGCGCCGGACGCCTCGCAGATGAGCACTAGCGACGTGCGCTGCAGCGCGACGTCGGCACACCAGCGCGGCAGTAGCGTCATGAGCAGCGCGAGCGCCGCGGCGGCGCTCGACGCGGGCAATAAACAACTCGCGCCGCGCGCTGCTGCGTTCGTAGCGGCTTCTGTCAGTGCGGCGGCGCGCGACTCCACACAAACGCAGGAGTTGTCAACTGCCGGGAGCGGCGCGTGCAGAACATCTGCGCGCAGTCGCGGCGGAAGCGCCACCATGGTAAGCGCTGGCGCTGAAAACAGACTGGCGTTGTAGTACAGCGAAAGGCCGTCGGGAAATCGCAGGTGGAATGCTGCGCCGCCAAAGTACTTGCCGTCTGGCAGCACGCGCACGCGCAAGTCTCCCTCGCCGAAAACCTGGCCGTACAGCAGCGCGAGCACGCGCTGCTGTAGCGCCGCACGTCGCTCGACCGGCGCCTGCGCGCACAGCAGTGTTTTTGTCGCGTGTGTCGTGAGCACGCTTCCTGCGAACTGCGGGCTGCTCAGTAGCGCCGACAGCGCGCCGCAGTGCTGCGGCGCGCAGCTGGACAGCAGACACAAGCGGACGCGCGAGAGCGCGACGGCGTCGAAGATGGGAAGCTGCGCGCAGTCAAACGTGAGGTGCGACGCGCCGCAGTCGAGCAGTACGCTCGCCGACGCGTTCTGCGCCAGCACGCAGCGGGCGCCGCGCTGCGTGTCGCGCGCAAGTGAAACGAAAGAGAGTCGCTTCACTTTCGCGAGCACCGCGCCGCCGCGCTCTGCAATCTACTAACTAGCATGGCCGCCCAAAGATATTCAATATTTACATAAATGTTCGCAGCAGTTGGCGCGCCGCGTGCGCTGAGCGCCGCGCCGCAGCGCTCAGCACCGCGAAAAGCAGCACGTCGCTCGCGCAGCCCGTTTTCCGCGCCGCAACTGCGAATTCGACGCAACTCAGTTTGCGATGTCGGAAGCACTTTGCTGCAACGCAACACGTCAGATACGCGGCAGTAGGCACGAGGCAGCAGCCGTCAGCGCTGGAGCCGCGCCGACGCTTGCTAGCGCACTTTTCGCAACGGAACAGTTGCGCGTGCACCGTTAGCTGCGCGCCGACCAATAGACTGAGACCGCGGTCTGTGAGTTCCAGGCTCGAGTGCGCTTCGCGGTTCTCACGCTTGGCGGCTTCACCTGGATCGCCGTCTGTCGCTGTGATGTTCTCGACTTCGACTTTGTCGACTTCGTCTATCGCGCCCTCGTCCGCGGGAGACGTGCGAGAGTCGGAGCGGTCGCCGGCGCGGTCATCGGCGCACGGCAGAGCGGCGGCGATCTTCGCGAGCGCTAGCTTGTGCAGTTTTAGGCAGTCGACTGCGCGACCGAAGAGCGCTGCGCAGCGCAGAAACCTCTTCCAGAGTTCGGCGGAGCGTTGCTTGCGGATGCGTAGCGCGACGTTCTCAAAGGCTGCGAAGCGCAGCGCCACTCGCTCTAGCACGAACTGCTCCTCTGCCGCGCGAGCGGGCTGCGCGACGGCGGCGCGAGCGAGCAGCAACTCGCTCGCGTCGCTCGCCAGTTCAAGCACCTTTGCGCTACGTGCGGCCAAGTCCGGCTGGCGCGACAGCGAGCGTTCAAAGCACGCGAGCAGCAGGAAATACGTGTCCAAAGTTATGCCGTCTTGCGCGGCGGAATCTGCCGAATTCTCCTTCGCCGCGACGTCCGCGGCGCGCAAGCCGCTGACGACTGTCTTCA